CATGTTGGTATATAATATAACTAGTAGAGTCGTGTCGCAGGAAATATATATATATATATATATATATATATGTTGGTATATAATATAACTAATAGAGTCGTGTCACAGGGAATATATATATATATATGTTGGTATATAATATAATTGTTGAGTCGTGTCACAGGGAATATATATATATATGTTGGTATATAATATAACTAGTAGAGTTGTGTCGCAGGGAAATCTATAGTAAGAGTTTTTGTAATACGCACCCACCTACACACAAATAAAGTTAGGCCATATGACATCCTTTATAAATAACATTTGTTAGGCAGAACGAATTTCTACCGTCATTTTTTACCATTGTTGGGCTGAATGAATCTATGAGTGGTATTCCTTGTCATCGCTGTTTGTTGGGCTAATGAGGGCTGTATTGTCATCACTGTTTGTTGGGGTAATGAAAGCTGTATTGTTATCACTGTTTGTTGGGGTAATGAAAGCTGTATTGTTATCACTGTTTGTTGGGGTAATGAAAGCTGTATTGTTATCACTGTTTGTTGGGGTAATGAGGGTGGTATTGTCATGGTTGTTTGTTGGGCTAATAAGAGCTATATTGTCATTATTATTTGTTGGGCTAATGAGGGCTGTATTGTCATCGCTATTTGTTGGGGTAATGAAAGCTGTATTGTTATCACTGTTTGTTGGGGTAATAAAAGCTGTATTGTTACCACTGTTTGTTGGGGTAATGAAAGCTGTATTGTTATCACTGTTTGTTGGGGTAATGAGAGCTGTATTGTTATCACTGTTTGTTGGGGTAATGAGAGCTGTATTGTTATCACTGTTTATTGGGCTAATGAGGGTGGTATTGTCATGGTTGTTTGTTGGGCTAATAAGAGCTATATTGTCATTATTATTTGTTGTGCTAATGAGGGCTGTATTGTCATGACTATTTGCTGGGTTAATGACAGCTGTATTGTCATCTCTATTTTTAAACTAATGAGGTCTGTATTGTCATCACTATTTATGGGCTGTATTTTCTTCACTATTTGTTGGGCTAATGAGGGCTGTATGTCATCTCTATTTTGAATTAATGAGGTCTGTATTGTCATCGCTATTTATGGGCTGTATTTTCTTCACTATTCGTTGGGCTAATGAGGGCTGTATGTCATCTCTATTTTGAATTAATGAGGTCTGTATTGTCATCGCTATTTATGGGCTGTATTTTCTTCACTATTCGTTGGGCTAATGAGGGCTGTATGCCATCTCTATTTTGAATTAATGAGGTCTGTATTGTCATCGCTATTTATGGGCTGTATTTTCTTCACTATTTGTTGGGCTAATGAGGGCTGTATGTCATCGCTATTTGTTGAGTTAATGACGGGCGTACTGTCATGACCATTTGTTGGGCTAATGAGGGCTGTATGTCATCGCTATTTGTTGAGTTAATGACGGGTGTACTGTCATGACCATTTGTTGGGCTAATGAGGGCTGTATGTCATCGCTATTTGTTGAGCTAATGATGGGTGTATTGTCATGACCATTTGTTGGGCTAATGAGAGCTGTAGTGATTGCAATTGCAGTCCTCATCTGGCCAGTTTTTGCTTTATTGTCAGGACTAAAATGTAATAAATTACAGTTCAATACTACTTACTTAAGAATACTGTAAGTCTAACGTGGGAAAAGTGTTTAGTATGTTTGTGACTTCAAAGACAGTTAGAAAAAGTGTCATTAAGTTTGGCACACGAACTGTGCTTTTGTATCTTGTACAAACGAAATATTTCTCAAATCAACAAAATGTAGATTAAGTTCATATGTTAGCAGCTCGATAAGTGGACAGGTGATCAGGACACTCGACTCGCAATCTCTGGGTCGCGGGATCGAATCCCGGCCCCGAACATGCCCTCCTTTTCAGCCGTGGGAGCGTTATATTGTAACAATCAAACCCACTATTCGTTAGTAAAAGAGTAGCCCAAGAGTTGGTAGTGAGTGGTGTTGACTAGTTGCCTTCCCTCTAGTCTATCACTTCTAAATCAGGAACGGCTAGAATAGACAGTTCTCGAGCAATTTTGTGCGAAATTTAAAAAACTAACTGGAAAAATGCAGATAAGAAACTCAGTGCATTTACTATCATTTATCATATTCTGAATAAAGTTATTACCATTAACTTCAGAATCTAAGTTATGGTCATAAATTGTGTTAGGCTTAGATCAATATCTCAGTCAAACATCTCGTAGGTTACCTTATGTTTTTGTAAATGTTTTTGCTTTCTGCGAGGTCAATATCATATATCATTTCGATTTCATCAATTTATATCAAACTTTGTGTTCTGTTACAAAATATTAATTTAGTTAGATAGAAAACTTATGATCATACAACAAAATGTCTATGTAAAGATTGTTAAAATAATGATTAAACAGTTAGTAATTCTACAAAACCCCTCCTCCCAGTGATTCAGTGGTAAATTTAAGGGTTTGAGGGTTTATAACGTTATAATTCCTGTGATGGGCACAGCACAAACAGCTCATTGCGCAGTTTTGGGCTTAACAACAAACAAAAATTCACAAATGATTATTTCAACATACACACACACACACACAACGTGTAAGCGTTAAATTGCATTTCCTTCTCGGGTTCAAGTAGAATAGTATCATGTTCAAACGTATTTTTTTTGAAAAAATTAAGTTTAGTCTTTGTTAGATTTCAGTTACGCTTACGCTTCAAATCTTTACTCGTTAAGCAGGTGCTTATGAAACCTTAATAGTAGTTTTGTTTATTATTAATGTTGTTTGTTGGAACAACTTTTAATCTTAGGAATGAGAGTAGTGTGTTGCTAGGGTTACACGTACGTTTGAATTTGCATCTGACATAGCTTGATGTAGGTGTTGCAATATCCTGCTTCTAGATATCGATACAGCTACCAAATAAACTAATATTAATGGTTTTATAAGAAGACGTGCTATTTTTGTTAAAAGAACGTCGTCGATAGGAAAAACACTTTTTCATTAAATACATTCAGTTTGTTTGTTTGAATTTCGCGCAAAGCTACACGAGGGCTCTCTGCGCTAGACGTTTCTAATTTAGCAGTGTAAGACTAGAGGGAAGGCAGCTAGTCATCACCACCCACCGCCAACTCTTGGGCTACTTTTTTACCAACGAATAGTGGGATTGACCGTCACATTATAACGCCCCCACGGCTGAAGGGGTGAGCATGTTTGGTGTGACGGGGATTCGAACCCGCGGCCCTCAGATTGCAAGTCGAGCGCCCTAACCACCTGGCCATGCCGGGCCTAAAGGATGTTCCAATCTCGATTTGGTCATGTTGGTAGATAAACATTAAAAATACTCCGAGTATTATTCAGTGTTGTTCTTAATAATACACATTTACACTAGTTTTCCTTTTCTATTATAATGTAAGTTTTACAGTTACAGTAACCATTGGACGAATAGAATGAGAAATTATAAATAACTATTTACAATAAAAGAGTGTTTCTTGCCTTATAATGAATGCACACTTTATTGTAATTTAACGACAGATTATAAGTCTTAAAAGTTTCAAAACCATTTAGATTAGACACTTGTAACCGACATAAAACTAATCTTTCTACTGCAAAACCTTTGTGTTGAAAATAAACAAATTAAAACAAAAAATTATATTTAGAGGTCAAAATACAGTGTATTTGTGTTGTGTAGTTTTATCATAAATCAATTATGAGCTAAAAAATAATATTTATAGATTTATTAGAGGTGGCTTTAATCGAAGTATTCTTTATAGGCAAGGCTCAGGCGGATTTTCTCACCAAAAAAGGGAAGGGAATCTCTGATCGATATACTCTTTAGCAGCAAGACCTAGGCGGAATTTCTCACCAAAAAAGGAAGGGAATCTCTTATCGAGATACTCTTTAGTAGCAAGGCCTAGGTGGATTTTCTTAACAAAAATGCGAAGGGAATCCTTGACTGAAGAACTCTTTCGTAGCAAGGCCTGGATGGATGTTTTAACCAAAAATTGGAGGGGATCCCTGATCGAGGTACTCTTTATTAACAAGGCTCGGACGGATTTTCTCACAACAGAGGCGGAAACCTTTGTTCAGGGTATTCTTTGGTAGCCAGGCCAGGGCGGATTTTCTCACCAAATAGGGGGAAACCTTTATTCAAGGTATTCTTTGGTAGCCGGGCCAGGGCGGATTTTCTCACCAAATAGGGGGAAACCTTTATTCAAGGTATTCTTTGGTAGCCGGGCCAGGGCGGATTTTTTCACTGATTAAACAGTTCTTTAGTTCCAGGCGGAACAAAAACAAAAGTCCCTGATGAGGAAAGGATTAATGAAGGTGATCCTATACTCTTATCTTACCTTTCCTTTTCGTGGCCCAGTTATTACAGTTAACGAGTCACTTGTGTCTATTGTCGGACTGGTGGTGCTGGCAGAAAAGCCATTGCTGTGGCTGCGCACGAGAAGTGGTCTCTGTTCTTTCATCTTTAACAGTCTTATCCTTGAAACCTAGTTCAGCCTCTATTTCGGAGCAGTAAGTTCAAATGGTCCCCTTTAGATACGTTTTCTTCCTAAACGGTAACAAAGTCGATGCAGGTACGCTGCTAACACCATTTATATTTCAAAAATACCAGTAAATATCTCGACTATTCCGCACTAGGTTGCTATGCGTGAACTAACACTTTGTTATCATTTTCGTGAACATATTCAAATACTTACAAGACTTAATAGTCGTAAAGCCAGTTCTTCCTTGTGTTTATCTGTCTCACAGTGAGTTCTCTTTCAAAGACAAGATTAGGAGGCTTAACAGAAGCTGTAGCAATGTTTAGAAGGAGACTACAGGAGACAGGGAAGATCGATACAGCCGTAGCTGGGAAACGAAGACACGGCTCCGACAAGGCGCTTGTATTAACAGCAATAGAGTGACGTAAAGCTGTAACTATACTTCCTTGAGCAGTATCGGACTGTACAATCAATTTTATAGAAAATTTAGTAGGTACAATAGCAGAACAGAATGAAGAAGAATTTACATCGTGTGTAACGATGTATCTGTGATCACGTGACAAGGTCATCATATAGTTATAAGATCAATATACATTGTTAAACATTGTGCATATTTTAACGTGGAAATAGAATAGACATTTTAAAATGAATGACAAAACGGATTACATTGTTGCCCGAAAATATGTTTTGATTCTATTTTTCCCATGTGACATCATTTCGTTCTTATTTGAACGTGTATGTAATTAAAAAAATTAAATGTAAATATTAACAAGTGGGAACCCTCAATAGCCGCGGCACTTGAAATTCTTTTAGGAAGTATTAGAATAAATTCATCTACGAGACCTTTTATTCCTTTTTATTAGCTACATTTTTATGCGACAGCAATACCAAGTTTAGGGCGCTCGTATACCCGATTCAATTGTATTACTCATTAGAATCTTTACCAGCCTACCCTGAAATTGAAATTCTTTTAGGCAGGATTAGAGTAAATTAATCTATCAAACCTTGGGCGTGTATTTGACCTCCTGGGTCCAGAACTGTAATTAGATCTCAAATCGATCAAGAAATGACGGAGCGTTTGTACTTGAAAAACTCGGAGCTATTCTATTAGCCGCTATGCCGCGGCTAAAAACATGTTGATTTGGAGTAGCTGAGCAGTACGTCTGAAGGCTTACAACGCTAAAAATCTTTGAGTTTAACAAGAACAACAAAAACAAACAAAAAGTTGCTACTATCAACTTTATTAAAGGGATACAGTGCAGTTTAAAATATATATAACAATCAAAACCAAAGTGTCATATTATGCTAGGATACGACATGAAAAATTAGTGTGGTCGTTGTTTCTCGTGTGAAACTGAAATATCAGACTTATCATACTCTGTAGTTGAATAAAATAACAGTTTTAATTTTCATAGTTATGTTACCATCAGCACGTAAGCAAGTACCTAACCTGCTGGTTGGGTGAAGACTCTTGGACGACCTCACAATAATTTACAACGGTGGTTAAGAGCTCCCATGTAATTTGAACAGTAGAAACGTGACTAATCGTGATAGCTTTTAAGCACATTATAACACTAAATGCATGACGAAAACTGCCATAAAATAACGTGATATGCAGTGCAATATCTCACTTATTAGCTCTTCTTTAAGTCATTGATTTGACGTGGTTGAAGTTAGAGTTTCCCTGCAAGATGTGTGATACTCTAAATAACATATTGTTATGACAGCGGAAGTCACGTGACGCTGGTAACACGTGATGAGTTTCTAGAAGGATTGGGGAACATCACGAATAATCCAGTATTTGCTAGGCGCCCTCTATTTTAGTATATAAGCCGGCAAATAAAGTGACGGCGATAACTGAATTGCAGACATCGAGATATAAAGACAGATAATCGAGTCAAGCCCAAAGTAAAGTGCGTGAATCGTCGTGAATTATAGCGTGTGTTTAAGTTAAAGTAACTGTGGAAATTAAGTGTATTGCAAAGTTTTATTGAGAAAGAATAAACTAGTTTTATTTAAGAAAGGACTTGTATGGTTGAAGTTCTTCGGAAAGAATTTCTACGGAAAATTAACAAACGAACAGAGACATAACAATATATTAATATGTGTTTCTTTATTATTAGAAAAGAGAATCTCGAATGATAACATTACTAGTAATAGTCAGGGGTTCAAGGACAAGAATCTTACAAAACACTCTGCTCTTAGAAGTAAATTATTTGGCATTATATTTGGTGATAGGCACAACTCGGCTATTAAAAAACGTAACTTGTATATTTGGATGTTCTTACACGAACGCTTTTTGTACTTCTATCCCCCCCACCCCACATCATTATTATAAAGTAGCATATTTTGACTGGATTGATATAGACCGAGTGTATGTAACTCCCTATCATTCTGAACTGTGTGAGAATTTAGGCTAATAATGATATGTGCCTTATACCTTATTATCCGCCCTACAAATACACACCATAGAGTTGCAATGTGTATGCTAGCGGTATTGATGGAATACCATTTATTACAATATTATTAAAAATTGTTAGCTAAAAAAGGGAGAATTCCATCTTCAGAAAATTATGGAAACAAGATAGGTAGCTTAAAGTGAAAACGCAATCGCAAAAAAGTAAACCAACAAGCTTAAGGTTTGAAACATGATGTTGACATTATTTCCTCGAGCTACAAATCCCTATTTTGACTTTCGTAAATATTACAGCTTTTATACATGGAGTTAAAATAAGGGTTTGTAGCTTGAAGAAATAATGTCAACACTTTGTCTCAAACCTTAAACTTGTTTGTTTACCTTTTGTGATTGCATTTTCACTTTAAGCTACGTATCTTGTTTCTGTATTTTTTGAAGATCTCTTTTTTTTCAAATCAACAATATTTACTAATCTTGTTTCTCGAGTTTTTTATGTTCATCATGAACATAAATCTGTATAATAACAATACTGCCCTATTTGAAACAGTCTATTTTAATGAAATACGTAGTTGGTGTATGTTGTTCTCTGGGGAAACAATGACAACCATTGGATTGGCTTCATGCTGATTGGTTGGATATTGCTCCTGATATCATTGCCACAATGTTATCACTGATAGTGGTACTGTATGTATGGCCATTATTATGTATTGCGATCAACATACCACATATTATGTATATGCAAGTAAATTATATATATAACTACTATGTTTATACCTTATATCTACATGGGAAGCCTGTAAACAATGGACTGGAGGGACTACTGAACAATACTGGAATGGTGCATGGACTGGATTTTGTAACCACGTGAGTTTTATACGTGCATGCACATGCAGTGTATGTCGGCTAGTATTTATATCTATCTATATATATATATATATACCTGCAGGCTTTAAAGTTTTTTAAGTTGTAAAGCTGTATATATAGATAGCCATAAGAATTTTTCAAGTTATATAGGTGCATGTATATATATTCAATGCAAATCTAAGACAATGCCTCGTAGTATAATAGGATATCTATACAAATAAGCGTTTTAAATATTTCTTGAAGTTGTTATAATCCCCCTTCCTCCTCCTGCTCTCCCTGGCAATAATAAGGATTGTCACGGTTTTGCTGCAACTGTCCAGATTTACACTTAGAGTAACAATTAGGAATTAATTATGTTGATATAATAATTATGTTAATATGTTAAAGGGAGTTAGATATTTTGCTAAAAATGAAAGGGGTCATATCTCATTTTGATTTGAAGGGGTCAGATTTAAGACCCCCAACATATAATATGCTAGCCAATGTCTATTATTATTAGAAAATGCTGCTCATAAGGTTATGGTCCATGTTCCTTTTTATGTATAATTGTCACTCAAGATAAACTGGCTGCGGAGGAGGGGGGAGGCAGTTACTATCCTTCAGGGCCTGATCATTTTTGAAAGTTAACACTCTGTCTTGCCAACATTTTTGTTCTGTGGTTATTGCATGTCTCCTGTAAGTTATATTTTCTTAATATAATAATAAATCTAAGGATTTTTTACAATATATTTATTTAGCCTTTTACTACCGGTATTAAATTTACAACAGTGCCCACATTTGCGACTCTTGCAAGTTTACTTGATATGTTACAAGTGAAGAATAGGACGCAACAGCCCACGTAACTTTGGTTTGTGGAAAACAAGGGTATGTATAGCTCAGCACTATAACAGTAGAATGATTCACA